ATTGAATGAACATTGAAACTTGGAAAACTAACTCCACCTTACCAGGTAACCTCGAAAAGCTGTCTGAATCTTGATGGCGGCAATTTCCTCTTTGGACTTGCCGGATGCTGAGGTGGCGACAGCTGTTCTGAGGCGGACCACCTCTGCCGCCACGTGAGCGGCGGCAACCGCCGCCTCTGCCGCCATGGCTGTCACGAGGGCAACAGAGTGAACTCGCCTCTTCTGTTCATTCTCGGCTTGGATCAATTTACCGTTTTTTTCTGCATTTGGAGATTTTATTAACTTCTTTTTCCTCTGTTTTCCGAACCATTTTCTCCATTTTTTCTGTCCCTAATAGGAAAAAAAACAAGAAAAATCTCATATTTTATTTTCTAGCTGGTGGTAGAATTAGAATTGACGTAAAAAATGAAATGATGTACATTGTTCATCTTCTCTCTGTTTTGTTTGGAGTCACAGCTGAGAGCTCTTTTGACTGCATAAATCCAAGCCCTTCTTTTACCCATTTCTGGCTAAGCTGAAATTAATCGCAAAAAAATAAAAAAAAAAAGGATCAAGGAGGAAAATTCTTGTTTTAATGTTTTGGAAATGGTGAATTGTGTTGAGGAAATTGATATCAAATAATGTGTTTGCTTGACGGGTTGTAGGGGCATTCTTGGTGTTTCACCTCACACGAAACGGCCTGCAGAGGTAATGTGTGAAGCTGGGGCCCACCTCTAGGAGTTGAGTTAACTCGCAGATAAAATACAGGATCGGCTCGAGATCGACTTGTAAAGCTTAAAATTGTGATGGATTTAATATATTGTGAATGAAGTGTAATTTGTATTTGGTTACACATATTTTTGTTAATTGAAATTTTTAAATAAAAGGATTGCAGTTAAAATTAGGTGATATATTATCATAATTTTGGAATACAAAACAAGTGACATTTGTTCAATTTTTCTTTTTCGTTTTTGTTTAAATAAAGAAAAGTCATTCAAGAAGGCCAACCCAAATGGGCAACTTCAAGACATAGATTTGTAGTCAAATGCCGTTATTGGGAGGGCACAAAGGAGTTAAAGGATCCAATTAAAAGGTCAGAGCTCAGACCAGATTTTGTTCTTGTCCCATTTGTTACCTAAAAACAGAATTCTTCTAGAATAAAGTTTAGGATAATATACATTAAAAACTTAAAATACATAATAGGGTAAATATATATACACCATATTGGCTCTAAATTCATATCTAGTATTAAGTTGACACAAGATCTGTTTATATTGCAATGTTTGTATGGTACAGTTAGGAATGCCTAATGATTAGTTAGTCATATTTTTTCAACAAATATGCATATTTTTAAATTGAAATGTCATACTTTAAAAACATATAACAAGTCGTCCCCGACTGATAGTTACAAATGTATGACATGTCTTCGATGATTTATAGTTGAAAAATGTATGAGAAGAAAAATAATCTGCATTGTTTTATTTTGCCTGTGTCAATATCAAAATGTCCTGTTTAATACAAAAAAAAAATATATCAAATAAAATAAAAATTTCATATTATGAAACCAGTGATTTAATACATTGGTGTGTTGGGGTGACAATATTAATGTCATTCACATGTTACCATCTTTTATTTGTCCTTTTCACTTCTCATGTAATTTTTGTAGTTGAGCAAATTATATATATATATTCACAGATTTTTTTTGTTCACTTCCTAGTTCAGGTGTTATGTTCTCCTTTATTGCCTGCCTTCATTTGTTTCACATGCTAAACTATTGGCAATGTGCACTAGTTTATTACTATATTAAACAAACTCTAAACATGATTGATTTTTCCTAATGGCAAAGTAGAAATGTGCCATGATTTTTACATCAAGATTGATGGATTTTAAGCAAATAAATACCCATAAGAAAGAGGGGGACAAATTTGAGTATGGGGAATTTAAATAAATACAGAGGTGTATTGTACATGATCTAAAGGGTAGAATTGTCCAGTTGTGAATATGCAATTTTGTGATTTAATAGTAGTGGTTGGATAAAAGATAGGACCATTTTCAAATGTCATAACTGCCATTTAATATGTACAACCTCTTCAATAAATAAATAAATCAAATAAAAATGGGCTCCACATTGGCAAATGCTTTTCAATAATTCAAAAAGAAAACAGAAAAGAACCAGAAATTCAAACTTCCAGTATTCTAACAGGCTCCTTTGAACTACAATTCTAAAGATTACTACAGAAGCCTTTATAGTTCCTTTTTCAGCCTATTTCTTAATGAACAATCACTCACACAAACTGATAATTTACAAACCCATGCACATAAATGCTGAACATGATATTCAAATTGCAATCTCAAATTTACACCAGTCAGTTAAAATACCCCAAGTTTCAAGACTGTTCTTTTTCACCGGATTTGGCTCGTTTAGATGGTGGGCAGTGTTCATTATCATCCAACGTGTCACGATCCTCACGATTTTCACATTCGTACGACATTTCTTGCTTGTTTGGATGTTCATCTGTAGTTGAGATTCCTGCCGTTTTTGAACAATGTTCGTCTGGTTTTTGTTTCTTCTCTTCTTCCATCTTCCTTTGCCGCTCGAACATCATTTGGAGGTTTTTGCCTTGTTCTTCTATTCGCAACTGTAGATTTCTTTGAATCTGAAAACAAAGTTGTTTNATACCATTTGAAAAAACCGTTAAACCGTATTATTATTTATAACTTCAATACATGATATGTGTTTATTTTTTTCTGTATTTGCAATAGAGATCACCATATGATCTGAGAAAGTTTGATTCTTTTTATATATGATAATAATAATAATAAAAAAAAAAAACAATTTTGCAATACCTCAAGTTGTTCATGAAGCTGCTTCTGGACTTCCATTTGCATTCTGAGTGCCTCGGTAATCCCCATTGTTCTGCGGTCAAAAACATTAAAACCTAGATTTATAGGACTCTTTCATAGGTAAGCTTAATTACGGTTACTTTTTTTGTACTTAACTCAAAATTTTACTACAATTGGGACCTTCAGTAGGCCAAAGGGGAAAAAAGGAAAGAAAATGAGACTTACGTCTTCAGGTCGAGCGATTTCAAGTCAGCAACACTTTTGGGCTTCTTTTCCGAATTTCCTAAAAATGAAAAGGGAAAGAGATAAATCCAATGCAAACATGAGACTATCAAGAGTTTTTGAAAAGAAGAAGAAAAATGAGATTCACCCAAGATATCTACTCATTAAAAGATATCAAATGAACAATCAATATAAATTGTATTAATTAATTTATTTAATAGAGTAGGTACAACTTATCTGGGTCTTGTTAGGGGTAGCAAGATCACACACAATCCAGAATTTAAAAGTGAAAAAGATTAGATAAATAGTTATTACTACAGAGTCAATCTTTTAGTTCACCTTCAGATGACTCTGGCTTGAATCTTGCGGTTCTATACTTCTGAAATAAGGAAATGAAACAGAAAATTCAATGTTTTTCAAAGATAAAACCTCGTGTGCATGAAAAAAAAAAGGAAAACGATTATTAATTACCTGCAAGTGGCTTTTCACATGATAGATAGTGAGGCTTTCGACATTCATGAGCTTCAATACACCTTTTGGTGTAGCCCCTGCGTGATTTCAAGAAATTTTCAGCTTCACTTGCAATTAGTGTTATATATATTTACAAATATAACATTGCACTTCAGCATAATTACAAGAAGATCAACATAACTTTCCTTTATTAAAAAAAAACTAATTCCCTCCCATTCGCAGTCCATTTCATAATGAAAACAAAAATCAAAAAGTGTATTTGTTGCAGGGCTTTTACGTAATAAAGCTAACTCTCAAAGATACTTCTTCAAAATTAACTATTGAAATTACGAAAAAAAATAAAAATGTTTCAACCGAAAGAAACTTACGTTCACAACCACCAAGCTTATTAACGGCATCAACAAAGAGTTCATGAAGCTCGGGTGTCCAACGCATTCGTGCTTTGACAGCTGGCGAAGAAGGACAATGAGAGCTTACTAAAGGACAGCTTTGTCCACTTGAGACAGTAGACTGATGATTATGTGGCAATTCCAGCAGCTGTAAGCCATTAAAACTTACTAATGTTAGATTTTTTTTTTCCGTCCCTTTTTTTTTCCTTTAAGTTCCTTGAAGGATATACTAAGTGAAACGAAAGAGAATTGTAGCTTTTCCATGAAAATTATATTCCATTAGAATGCTTTAAAACAGCACAGGTAAACTCTGTTTACTTCTCCCACATTTCAACCTATTGACATTTTTATCCAACATGCACATGCCAAATAAATACCGAAAACTGAAAATTCTAGATTGGGATTGCAATTTGCAACAATAAGAAAACAATTAAATTGATAAGTTTATAAACAATGTTTGGAATATTAAGTACACTCTCCCATCCATGATAACTGATATTTATGTGTAGTTCTTCTGATAGAATGACACTGATATTTGGAAGCCAATTTTTTCCCTAAATTACCCTTATACCTATCAAGTTATCTACTTAATTCATCCAATTTGCAACAATAAGGAAACACTTAAATTGATAAGTTTATAAACAATGTTTGAAATATTAAGTACACTCTCCCATCCATGATAACTGATATTTATGTGTAGTTCTTCTGATAGAATGACACTGATATTTGGAAGCCAATTTTTTTCCCTAAATTACCCTTATACCTATCAAGTTATCTACTGAATTCATCTATGATGTAGAAAGACTACATATCATTCCCCAAGTGACATTAATTAAGATATATATAGGATTAGGATATTTTAACACGTTTTTAGTATGCATGTTTTTTCTTTAAGAAGTATCGTATTAACTAGCATAAGAATATTAATTCCGAAAATCTACTAAAAGAAGGACACGTAAACAAAAGAAAAAAAAAAAAAATTGAGGAGCAAACCTTGGCATCCAAATCCGGAACATTTACATCTTCAAGGAGATCAGTCAAATTTGGTTCGAGTGAATCATCGACTGTGATCAACTGATCAGCCCAGTCTGAATGATTTTCCAGCTGATTACTATCGACAGGTAAATTCAATGAAGAATCAAGAAAACCCTCGATTGCATCCATATTCCAAGAGTCATCGTTATTTTCCACATCCAGTTGGCTCGATGCTAAAGAACCTTCATCGCTTAGAGGCTTAGAAATGAACGGCAATGTTTTTGGTCGACTTATATTGTGTGAGCTAGAAGAGAACAAATGTCCAACAGTTTTGTGGTTAGACGATGATAATGTACTAGGACATGAAGAAACTAGAGAATCGGGCAACTTTGGGAAGTTATCTTCTGAAGGAGTAGGCAAAATGTGCAAAGTTCTCGACAGAGCTTCAGGGGCATTCTTGTCATTTGGACGTGTGTCATCGGATTTCTTCTTAAATAATGCAGGGGTCATTTTCAGGTGTCGATAAACTGACATAATCAAAGGGTTTTCTACTGAAATTTGATTTCTTCTTTGTTTTGCTACATTTTCAGAATCTGCATTGATTATAGGTGACCATTTGAGCAACTGGACAGACAAAACACATAAGATGTTGAAATGAAATTGAAATAAATTCCCAAGGTGGTGAAGTATGCTAGATTTGTGTGAAAATGTATGGCGTGCTATGAAAAAACTTGATCAACATTACAAAATTTTCATTTTTCAACATTAAAAAGAGAAATAAAAGGATTCATGTATTCACAGTTCACACACACACACGCATATTAGATATTCTGTTATGGATAAAGAGTGAAACAACCGAAAGGTAAGCCGAGTTACAAGTTACAAACACCACTACTTTAAGTAAACGGCACAATTCATTAGCATCTACCATAGATGTTGCATTTAATTGCATATACATGAACTACCAAGCAATTATGGTTTTCCATAGTCTAACTAAGTATAATAATTTTGTAGTTGGATATGTAATATTGAAGCTCTCAACTAAGAACTATAAAACATTAAAACTTGCGATACGATTATATCACATATACCTTACCAGCAAACATTATGCCTTGCCATATGACTACATCCTGGATGAATTGTTGTTAGTTTCTACTGCTTCTTTTTTTTTTTTTTCNAAGAGTGTTTGCAAACTCTAAAATAAGAAAATATTTTTTGAAGAATCAGCCAACACTCCAATAAAAATCTAATCTTTCCGTGAAGGCAACCTATTTCGAACAAGAAAATTAACAGAACAAATGATAGCTAAGCCAAATCTATCTACAAAACCATATCCATCAATACTCGATCCACAATTGCAAATCAGTTCATGCAATGCCAGGAGCTCAAAATGGGGTCTCTCACACCTGCTAACCTCATTTTCGAGGCTATCCACATATATGCTATCAAGCAAAAAAAATAAAAAAAAATCACCATTCCCTTGAGCGAAAGCTAGCTCATTTCAGCAAAAATCAAGGAAAACCCAAAACAATTTCATTTCAAATTCTAGGATTAAACACGAGCAGACCACAGCTGATAAGCTAAATTGCTAAATACGAGCAAATAGTTCAATATTTATAGTGGCATTTGCGAAAAAGGACCCAGAAAACATAAAGACCCCATTTTAACGATACTTCTTATCAAGAACCACGAAACACATACACACAACAGGCACAACAATTTAGCATGAAAAATGGCTCAAACACTGAAGAATCCGAGGTGGGCTCGGCCAGAAAAATAAATCCAATAAATGGAAAACTAACCTTTGGAACAAGAGAAACTGACGAAAAAATCTGGTGGCTAATTTATACTCCTATAGGGGGAAAAGAATCAAAAAAGGTGAAATAATTCAGTATTATTAGGACTGGGAGAGGTGAATTTGCAGAAATATTCTTCTCACTTTCAAATTAAGATGAGACGAATGATGTTGTGATAGTGTGAAGTTCTTGGAGCTGAATGAATGATTATTGGGCGCATGCGTATGGGTAAGAATTTTTATTTTTTTTTTTCGCCCTCTTTTTCTCTTGTCATGACTCATGAGCCGTCCATATTGAATTATAAATTAATTTAATTGAATTATTTTGTGTTACGTCGACCTTATTATTACCAATTGTTATAATATTTGTACATACTCTACAAAAGTGTCATATTTTAAAATTTAATATAAATATGTATTTTTGTTATGATCTATGATCAACTAACGTAACAGTTATGTTATTCCACCAAGAATTTGTGAAATTGATCGTGCATTTGGACATTTTTCTAAATTTTATGCTATAATACGCAATGGTTGTTATAGAAAAGACCATAATTGTTATAATACGCAATGCTATAATACGCAATGTTTGAAGTTTAAAATTTCATATTCTTATGCATTTTAGAATAGCTCGACTCATTAAATTTCAATTTATTCATTGGTTCATTTTGTTCTCCAAACACTCAAACTTGGGCTCGAATATTAAGAGTAAGCTCGAGTATTATGAATTCGAGTTCGAATTGACTCACTTTGAGTGAAATGAACGAAGGTATTCTCACGTCGTCCTGAAATTTACATTTTAGGAAATGGGCTAAAGTTTAGACCAGCCAACTTTGGAGGCCCAATAAAAATCCAAATCACGAAGCAACTAGCGGTCCAGAAACAATTGCTCCTTCAAACACGAGAAGCCTGCAAAGAATTTGAAAAATATAGAAAATGTTTTTTTCTCTATGAAAAATAACTTTCAAGTTTCAAGAAAAAATCTGAAAAAAAATAAATATCGAAATGTCATCAATTTTGTGCATATATATTTCACGTCCACCACGAAATTTCAAATGTTACTACTTATATATCATTAATGCCGGTTGAATGTGGTGTAGAATAGTATCTATTATTATTATTATTATTATTATTATTATTATTATTATTTAATGGGTGTCTTAGAGAATAAGTTAGAAATATAATATTATTGTTTAATAGTTAATAAGAGATATTGTCTTGTTGGACACGTTAAGATTTAGAGTTAGGAGCCTTATTTAAAGGGCTTTTCTGCTTTGTAATGAGTGGAGTTGATTACTGAATGAAAAATAAGATTGTGAGTTTTATCGAAAGAGTATCTCGTTTATCCTTTCTATTCGTGCGCTTCCTAAATCAGTTGGTATTAGCAGCCGCCGGGACGACAAGATGCCGCAAACGAACGACGTGACGCAACCTTCAACGATCGATTTCAACAGATCGACTATCGATTTCAACAATTGGACATGCGTTTCACGGATTGGTTTGCCGATCTTTCGACGGGGATCGGCGATGCAGACGGCGAGGAAACCATATCGGAGGTTGATCCCTCCGTAGAGTGGCCGCCTTCGCCCGTCGAGACTGAGCTCGTTGTTGCACACGACGACCAAGATGTGCAGCAACAGAGTGCAATTTTTGAGGAAGATGACCATTGTACGACGGTCCGCCTATTTTTGATGAGGAGCCTCCGGTGACAGAGACATATCCTTGCAGCAATATGGGTCCCGCATTGGACGTCGCAAAAGTTGAGCCTTTGACGGGGATGCCGTCGTTCAAACCCGATTTTTGGAGTATCTTAGCCAACGATGGTTTTTCGGATCTGAAGCCGAGGCTCAATAACTGGTGGGCCATTTTTCGATTGTCTATCCCGAAGTCTCTCAACAATGGGATGCTTGGCCGTAGTTATGGATTTGAGTGCGGTGAACGATGTGGTATGTTTGGTGTTAATTTCGCGATGTGGGTTATGTATATGGAGGCGTGTACATGTGTCTTTGCAGCAATTCAATCCTTGCCCATGATTATGTTTACCATCGGGATTGTTGGACGACATTCATCCTTCGTGTTCGACCGGGGGAAACGACAGGGGTTTCCTACCATGAGTTCGATACCACACGCCGGCCATGGGAGCGCATCGGCTTCGAGGGCGAAGTCTTCCAAACCGGGAGAGAATGATGTAGATTAGTATCTATTATTATTACTATTATTATTATTTAATAGGTGTCTTAGAGAATAAGTTAGAAATTTAATTTATTGTTTAATATTTAGTAAGAGATCTTGTCTTGTTGGACAAGTTAAGGTCTAGAGTTAGGAGTCTTATTTAAAGAATTTTTATGCTTTGTTATGAGTGGAGTTGATTATTGAATGAAAAATAAGATTGTCAATTTTATCGAGAGAGTATTTCGTTTATTTTTTCTATTCGTACGCTTTTTCGTTGATTATATATTAGGATTAGTGTGTAAAATGTAATTCAATATGACAAACTGAAACTGAGAAACTCCATGCACGTGAGGACACCTAAAATTTTCTAAAATTTAATTGTCAATGTGAAAGTTGATGTTGATATTTGCAAGGGGCATGAGATCAAAAATTTCACCTAAAAGCCTTGAAAAAGTATATAATCTTAAGTATCCACTACTGATCAATACAAAGTTCATGATTGGAGTTAGTTGGAACTATTCAAATATTTTAATCGTCACTTCACTATTTATTTTCATCCTTGTTTTGGTTGACTTTTAGGTCCTCATCCAATGAATGTCATATAATAGATTTTCAATTGGGCGGCTAAGCTAGTTATTAATTTTCCAAATAACTGCAATAAAGATATTTCAATTTGTGACAATGACTTCAGTTGTCAATGAGTGGAGCTCAACAATTTTTGAGCCGAGTTTAGTTGAGTCTAAATTAAATAATAAGTTCGGACCGAGTCTTAAGATATTAAAAGTTCATAAAATTGCATAAAAATTCTTATTTATCACATATAACTAACATCCACGTGTTTAGTCTTCCTTAATGATATGAGCCTTAAATGAACTTGAATTAATCTCGTCAACTAAATAAATCAAACATAACTCAAGTTTTAATGAGTCAAGATGAATTGAACTCATAAATGACTCATTTAGTTTAACAACTCTAATCTTCCTTATATATTAATTCAGAACGCGCTGAGCCTATGTGGCAGGCTCGCATACTTCGGGATCCTATGTAGCAAAATTACATGCTTCGTTATTAGATTTTGATTATCTATAAATATGTTGATTATTTATTATAGGGGCGCGGTCCGGGACGGTCCTGGATTTGACTTGTCCGGATACTGATCCCACTTTTATGAATCAATTATGAACGGTTCGGAATGAGGCACTGTCCCCACCCATGTAATACATGAGTGTTGTACTAGTAACTCACTTATATATGAAAGGTGCAGACCGTACTGTATCGAGTATGCAACATTTGATAAACAAAGTGTTAAAACTATATATATATCATTGACATAGGACAATACATATTGAAATCCCTCAAAAGAAATAGAGAAAAAACTAAAAAGTATTGTAAATGTATATCATATCAACATTTGAAGAATGTTCATGCGAAGCATCGAAATAAACAACTTGAATCATGTTTTACAGATTATGTTCTAAATAAACAAAATTGCGGTCATCACTAGACTTTCGTTAATCCAATCCGTGAGTTGCCAATTGCCATTGTAGGTTAATTGACTTGGTCAAGACAATTCTACTTGGCCAATTTGTTGACGACGAATGAAAATTGTAGAAAATTGCGACACGTAAAAATTCGGGCTATCAAAAAAAATTGTGGAGCAAGAGAAAAGATTGGAAAATCAATTGCTAACTAATGATTAAAATATTGAACTGAATTTTATTAATATATAATTAAGTTTTCTCATGTGAAAAAAGAAAAAAAACCAAATTAATGTGGAACAAAATATAGGAAGTAACATACTATAATATTAAACACACACGTGTTAATTAATGAATTCGTACTTAAAATATTACAAAAAAAAAAATAAAAGCTTTATTTAAATTTGTAAATAGTTCTTATAAAATTGTATAATTACTTTTATATAAAATGATACCGACCACTCGTAATAGTCATTCTTAAATATATACATATGTTAACATATATATTTTATATGCAATATGAAAAATTGTCAAAAATAATTTAATATGTTATATAAGGAAATTGATACAAGAAAATATAAAAAAATATTAAACTATATTATTCATATGAACCAGCCCGTATCTGTTCCTTGGCCCGTTCATGACCCTCAAAAAATGCGGCTTGGAACTGATGAGTCCGACTAGAAATCGAGTTTTGGCCATGTCTATCTGCTTGTATTTCAAAATTGTTAACATACAATTAGGAATAACTTTTTTTTTTTTTTTAAAAAAAAAAGAAACATCTCAAAGATGGAGAATTAAGGTAGGATCCTAAACATGTATATAGTGAAAACCTAAATGGGCAAAATTAGGAATATAACTTAACAAATAACTTTAGCAAGCATACAAAATCGACACTTGGAAATGGAACTGTTTTCGACTCCCAACCAACATCAACTTCAACAATTCTCTCTCTAACATTGCTCTCTTCTCACTCAACCCTCAAGAAAAGTAAAGCATCCACGTTTCTCATCCTCACTCATATATTTTATTTATTTTTCCTCTATTTTTTGTTAGTTGGGTAGCTGGATCTTCTTTTTGAGACTAAAGATTTTTCTTTCTTCAAAGGAATAAAAAGAGAATCTTTACTTGTTCGGTATTCTCCTTTACCTTTTTTGTTATCAATATTTGCTATCCATTTATTGCAATTGGGTAACGTATTTCATCATAATTTATATTTATCTTGCAGTTTTGAGCTGCAAATTGCTCCTGAGGTCTTATTTTGAGGAAAAGTTACTTGTTTTCTTGATGGGATTTTAGGAAAGTGTTTCCTTTTTCTTCATTATCTGCTTTTTAATAGATGTTGTGAGGGAATTGTATAATATTGAGGTGTGAAAAAGAATGTTTTGGTGGTTGGATTGTTGTACCTCATGCCCAGAAAGTGTTTGTGAAGAGATCGCAGAGGAGCCCAACACGTTTTCTTTGCCTTCACCCCTTCCACAATGGCCTAAAGGTTTGTTCTTGAAGATATTTTCTGTAAACTCTTATTTATGTATTTGTTGTATTTGATTTTTGATGAAAAGTTGTGATCTTTTGCCCGATTTCGTACCTTGGTTCTGTTTTCTTATGGTATTCCTCTGTTCAGAAGTAACTTTATATTCTGAATATATGTTTACTTACAGTCCTTTTGGTGGCCTGCAGCTGAAGTTCTTTACCTGTGTGCAAAAATAGAGGGCTTTTGTACCTTTTTGCTTGTTAATTGAGCCATTTAATGAATTTTAGGGTATCAATTTATTATCTGTAAGTTTCTCTAAGAAGATAATTTCACCTTATCTCTACCAAGAAAATGAAGCACATATTGATTGTATGTACGTAACCCGAATATTTGTTCCTCTGTTAGTAATAGTTTTTCAAAATACAGTCTTTATTCTATCAAAGAAAATTATGTTTTTGAAGTAAGCCCATTGGAGTATGAGTTGGGTGAAGAAGAAGTTTTTTGTTTGTGTTGTCACAGGTGAAGATTTTGCCACAGGGAAAATATCCCTAGGAGAAATCGAAGTTGTCCAAATTACAAAGTTCGACAAATTATGGAGTTGCAGCCCTTCGATCGGAAAAGGCAATACTGTGACTTTCTACAAACCAACAGAAATCCCAGCTGGATTTTTCGCCCTCGGCCATTATTGTCAGCCGAGCGAAAAAAAATCGAGAGGCTACATCCTCGTCGCCCGAGATATTTCCGAAAATTCTAATTCTAAACCTCTCGAGAAGCCTCTTAACTACACTTTGGTTTGGATCGGTAATTCAGACGAATGCGGTTACATTTGGCAGCCAAATCCACCTGCCGGCTACAAGCCTATGGGCTTTGTGGTCACAATCGGGCCCGACGAGCCCGACCCAGATGAAATCAGATGTGTTCGGGCTGATCTCACGGAGAGCTGCCAAATTAACGAGCTCATATTCGATACAAATTCATTTTCTTTAAGTGGCCAATTTTATATATGGACTTTAAGGCCGTGCGAGAGGGGAATGCTTTGCAGAGGTGTACCCGTGGGTACATTCTTTTGCAGTCAAGACAAATTTTACGAAAACGATGATGATGTAATAACAACTGTTGCCTGCCTGAAAAACCTCGACCCTTTATTATCCGGCATGCCGAATCTCGAACAAATTCACGCGTTGATCGAACATTATGGACCGAGACTATACTTTCACCCGGACGAAACCTACCTCCCATCGTCAGTTTCTTGGTTTTTCGAAAACGGGGCCCGTTTGTTCGAGCGAGGGAAAGAAGAGAAAGGTTTACCGATCGACTCCAAAGGCTCGGTTTTACCTTACGGTGGGGTGAACGACGGCGAATTCTGGCTCGACTTGCCGGAAAACGATAAGGAAAGAGATTACGTTAGCAAAGGGAACATCAAAAGTGCCGAGCTTTATATCCACGCAAAGCCTGCTTCTGGCGGGACTTTCACCGACATTGCTGTATGGATATTCTGCCCCTTCAACGGGCCCGCCACTTTAAAAGCCGGGCTTTTTAACTACACTTTTAAAAAAATCGGGCAGCACGTAGCCGATTGGGAGCATTTCACTCTGCGGGTGAGCAACTTTAGCGGCGAGCTGTCGAGCATTTATTTTTCCGAGCACAGCGGAGGCGGGTGGCGGGGCATTTGCGAGCTGGAATTTGTGGAGGGAAATCGAGCGGCTGTTTACGCCTCGAAAAACGGGCACGCGTGTTTTCCTAAAGAGGGTTGTTATATCCAGGGCTCGTCTAGTCTTGGGATTGGTGCGAGGAATGATTGCAAGAAGAGCGATTATTTTGTCGAGTCGAGCTCGAGGTCTAGGTACAAAATCGTGGCAGCCGAGTATCTTGGAAAGAAGAAGAAGAGTGGTGGTGGGCCCGTGGAGGAGCCCGATTGGCTGCAGTACATGAGAGAGTGGGGCCCGAAAGTTGTGTATGACTCGCGATCGGAGCTGGAGAAGATTCTAAAGCACCTCCCTTTCTTCGTGAGGTTTTCAGTCGAGAATTTGATCGAGCTTTTCCCGACTGAGCTTTATGGAGAAGAGGGGCCCACGGGACCCAAGGAGAAGGATAATTGGTTGGGTGACGAAAGGTGTTGAAGCTGTTTTTTTATCGTTTATGTTCGTTTATACGGTTCGGGCACGAGACAGAAACGAGAAAGGGGTTTTATTCGGGTACGTTCTGAGTTGTTGCTGAGTAAAATCAGATTCTTGCTGATGATAGCTTGCTTTATGCATTCATCTCTGTAAAATCAAGAATCTATAAGTTGATTTAGGTCCTGAGGGGTGTGAATATATATGTGATAATGTGTATGTTGCTATCCATAATGTAATGTTTCCATATTGGCTATTGCAGATTTTGAGATAAGAAAAGAAGTTCATTTAGGACCCCATCAAGTTGTTCATGTGCAGGCAAAACAAAAGAACAATGGAATGTATGTACCATTGGTAAACAACCAGAGGAAAAAGAATCTGAAAGCACCAAAAGAGCCTTCACAACCCAGATGAATGAACTACTCATGGTGTGTACCATGATTGAATATGGATTTGATAATAATAATAATAAAAAAAATAAAAACCAAACCAATAATTTTAACACAATCATTTTTTTTAACACAACTTTACTATTATTAATATAAATATATAATATCAATAAGTCATAAATCACCTCAACTTTAATTAATTTTTCATCTACTTACATAATTTCAGCTAATCATCAGTTTAAATTATCTTTCTTATACTTTTACATCAAATCAACTTTAATTATTTTATTTTCAATATTATTTTAATACAAATTCAAAATTCTGATAATAACTAATTATATCAACTTTTTTAAAATTAACTATAATTAACAAAAAAATAATTAAAATTATATTAAATTCATATCCAATCACACCCTCATCCTTCCATAACCAATAAACACTAGTACTAGATATGTGGATTTTTAGTGCATATAAAATTGAAATATAATAATTAAAGTGACCATAACCAATAACACTAGTACTAGATATGTGGATTTTTAGTGCATATAAAATTGAAATATAATAATTAAAGTGAATTTGATATAAAAATAATAAAATATTGATTAATAATTATCAATAACTTCAAATATATGAATGAGTAAATTGAATTATTTTATTGAGAATTATATAATAGTAATTAGTTTTTATTTTAGAGAAAGAATGAGATACAATGCATTGTTTACTGTAATTTTTTTTATTTCATTCTAAGTTAAATTAATTAAATTAAAATATTAAACCAAACAAAATAGAAAAAAAAAATATTTATGTACTAGCATGCTTGAATGAAAGAGCGCCAACAGTGAGCTGGACCTGATAGAAATAGAATAATAGTCGTGGGCAATATGTATAATAAGATGTTAAACGAGGGAGCAAACTATAATTTATCAACAAAAAAATCCCCAAACCCCAATTCTTCCATCACAAATAAAAAGTCAAGGGACCCGCACCTCCTCGAACCATGCTCAAAAGTCATGAAGCCCCTCAAATCTCAACTCTTCAATAGTTTGATCCAACGGTCTAAAAATTTATAGACCAGTACTTTGTAGCAGTTAATAGTCACCCTCTTGTTTTCCCTCACATAAACCCTAGAAATCCTGCAAACCTACCCGCCTCTCGCAGCCACCCTTTTTTTATAACGTGAAACACCATTAAAATCGATTGAAAGAGAGAGACAAGGGAATTTAATATTTTTTATTATAACTACTGTAAAAAAAGACCCCCCTTCGGAAATCGAATTGATTATTTGTGGTGGACCAAAAAAGGGATGCTTTAATTTTTATTTTTTTTTGTTCTGTTGATAATATATTTTGTATCTTGTTATTTGTATGCGTTCCGTTTTGATGGATGTCTGAGTCTGTGAATCTGAAAAAATGATGGGTTTTTTATGAGATGCCGGTGAGATTTACCTGATCTTCAATTTTTGCCCCCAAAATGTTGTCTTGAAGCATTTTATCATTCATTTTGTGGCCTGGTACAGAACTTGGATGGGGAAAAATCTGGGTTTGTGGTGGGACCGACTTGTGACGAGTTGATCCGAGTCTACTGAGTTGGGACCGATTTGGCATGGCAAAGGCGTGAAGAAGGGTGCTTTGCTTGCATGTTCGTGGGAAATTGAGTTTTGGACGAATATTTGCTAAGTTAGTTGGAAAAAGAGAAACCCAGTTTGAACCTGGTTGCTTGAGTCGGTTATCGAAAATTTTGTGCTTTAAGAGTGCGTTTGGCGCAATATTAACTGATTAAGCGATTTTAACTTGGCTGCTAGCTCATGCTGCATCAATTCACTGATTACCCCCTTTCCTTTTCGTATGATAGGCGAGAGAAAAGATTTGGGTTGGCGTTACTGCCATAGCTGTTTTAGTTCTTTTTGCACTGGACCAAGTTTTGGTCATTAAGGCGATTAATTACAAAGCTGAAGAGGAAAACTAGCTCGGGGGCTTTGCCTCGCAGAAGCAAACACAAACCAATGCCTTCGGTTGGTATGAGAAGGAACACAAGGGTGTTTGGGGCCCAAGTTTTGCGGTCTGGCAGGAGGCTATGGACCAAGCCTCAAGGAAGCAGCAAGAAAGTCCGTATAGATCATGTGGAAAATCAGTGGGCCGAGCTTCGAAAAGAGTCCACTGATATAAGAGAAAGTGCTGTTGATTCCTGCAAGGAGACAAAGAAGGAAAGCCCGAATAATGGTTTGGCAGATGTTGAAATGCAGGAAATTGCCCCCGAATGTGGTGATGTGGATGTGAAAAATGTGGACAGAATGTATGGGATTGTGTACAAAAGAAAGAGAAAACGGGCTGAGTTGGGAAAAGTTGTTCTTAAAGAGGATAGAAGATGTGGGAAGAAGTTTTTCAGGAAGCAATGGAGAAAAAGAAGTAAACTTGATTTGTCTGAAACTTGTGTGGTTGACCGGAGTTCAGTTATCAGGGTTTGTGAACTTGCTGTTGTTGTAAATGGGTCATCTTGCCGATTTGGAAATTTGATTACTTGCTTCCTGACTAAGTTACTTAGTTACATGTCTAGAGTTAGGATTGGGATTAGACGATTGTCAGCATTTCTTGTGTCCAAACCGATATGCGATGCTTATTCGTCAGGTGGAGTGCTTTTCCTCCAGGTAAAAATGTAATCTTTAAAATATCAATTATATCTCTCCATTCTCTTTTCCTTTCCCATTTCACTCCAGTATATATTTTACCCTTTTTTAATTGTGGAGTCAGCTTTGATTTTTGGGGACTTTAAGTTGCATTAATTGTAGTGAGGTATCAAAGTCGATTTTGATTGCACATATCTTATCTTGCTTTCTTTGTTTTGTTTTGTTTTGATTCTCTTAATTTCTTGTGATATTGTGCTCTAATCGATCTTCCCCCATATGCAGGATTCTTCCAATGCCAATAATCCCGTTATTCGCATATTATCAGGATCCAAGTCATTAATACCAACTTTTTCTCTTAATATTTTCGCAATCCCAACGTTATTTATGCATATGCAAACACGTATGTCCATTAGATCAGCACATTTGGCTTGCTTTCTCATAGCACCTTCGGTCAATATTTTTGAGAAGGACAAGAAAGTTACAGACATGGCTGATTGTTCTGAAACACAATCCGTGACACATTCAGTCGATACATATGAAAAGGATGATATATTTACAGAGACACACTCTTTTGATGTCCCATCTTGTATGGAGCAGCAAGATTCTGTTGAACTATTACCTCAAGTTTCGTCTGAAAGAATAATAAGAAAAGAGTTGTCACAAACTACTGCTGCTATTGGAATAAATAAATCAGCTCTTCGACCTTTGAAATCGAGAAACAGCCATCACATTCAGAAAAGACGAAGTTCCTTGCGACGCAAGAAAGGTCGAACTCATTCTGGCTTTCGAATCCAAAAATCATTTGCAACTTTGGCTACCGAAATTTTCAGGATCAAACAAGAAAATGCCAAAGTAAAAAAATTCAGTGAGCTAAAATGTACAGTCACACAGGACATGTTCGTGACAGGCTGTTCAGTGAACCTGTTAATAACCGAACCTGACAGGTGCTACCGGGAAGAAGGAGCCACAGTCATGTTAGAATTATCCGCATCTAAACAATGGTTCCTTGCCGTTAAAGAAGATGGAAAGAAAAAGTACAGCCTAACTGTTGAGAAAGTCATGCGAGCTTCTTGTACAAACCGTTTTTCTCACGCGACTATCTGGGCTGTCAATAGCGGCTTGAAGCTTGAGTTTCCCAACAAACATGATTGGCTGATTTTTAAGGAGCTTTACAAGGAATGCTATGAAAGGAACATTCTTTCGCCTGCTGCCAGTGTAATTCCAGTCCCTGGGGTTCAGGAAGTGTTGGGCCTCGCGAAAATGGATTTTAAGCCTTATGTGAGGCCCAATTCGTATATCCGCATGAGGGACGATGAGTTGACTCGTGCTCTTGCAAAGAAGAGCCCGATTTACGATATGGGCTCTGATGATGAACTGTGGCTGGCTGAATTGAATGAAGAGTTTTGTGGGGGTGAGCTTATTACGCCTGAGAGTTTCGAGTCGATCATTGATGCGCTCGAGAAAGGCTCTCACTGCAATCCGGAGGAGAATTTTGACGAGCAAGGGTTTTCTGATTTTTGCATGCATTTGGAGAGAAGAGAAGTTGTTGAGGCCATCCATGGCTATTGGGTTAAAAAGCGAAAACAGAAACGAGTGGCTCTGGTGAAGGTTTTCCAGGTAAATATGAGTTTTCCTCGTAAAGATTTACTAATGTGCTTCTATCAAGGAAAATTGGATGCGTACTTTTGTTTAATTGTCAGTTTTACCAATTCATTGGGTTTTCTAACTTGATTTGCTCTAGGAAAGATTTAAATTTTAATGGTTTTTGAGGGAACTGCAGTCTTTTGATAATGCATGAGCCTTTTATGAGTTAAAAATTGAGGTCATTCGTATATTGTATTATTGAGGTAAGGCTGAGAAAAATCTGAGTAAGAAAAGCACTGTCTATATTTCTTGTAGTTTGCTTGAATTTATTATCCTCCATTGAGAGGCATATATTCTGACCTTGGTATTGGGCGGTTTTGAGGTTGATGTTTCTGTTTTTGCATCACTGTCTGTTATTGGTATTTTGTAACGATTAATTAATTAATATAAACTTGTTGACCTTATTCTAAACTTATTCTAAAGTACCCAATATGGGAATTTTATGCATGGTCTGCTGTGTAAGTATTTGTTAAGGTCACTTAGTATTTCATTGTTCATCCCTTTTGTTACTTTCCTGTTATTCTGATAGTTCATTCAATTGTCTCACATTACTGTGTTAGTGTTACCTTATGATGCATCTGGGAAGAAAATTATATGAGGGGCTAATTACGAAAGGAAAGAAAAGGAAAAAATAGCCATATTACCAAAATATAAATATCAATTCCAAATGCACCCTTGTTGGCCACTGTCTCACCAATTGCACCCTCTAGACGGTGTGTTTTTTGGTGTTTCTGTAATTTTTTAAAACCTGAAAGGTACCTATGTAATTATTCGCTTGTTCTTGACCTAATCGTTCCATTGTGAGCTGGCGTTTCTTAATTGTTATCTGGTCCAATGTGCTTCTTAATTTTTTTTATTCATTTTCTATTTGTGCCAAAGGAATCAAACATCTATCTTTAAACACCCTTTCTGTTCTAAAGTTGGATAAATATATGTATTTTTGTTTTCTACTGCAGCTTTATCATCCTAGAAAAACTCAAGTGATCCCAAAATCAGTTTTGCGCAAGAAAAGATCATTTAAACGACAGGCAAGTCAAGTTGGGCGAGGCAAACAAAGGCCAACATATCCAGGTATTTTCTTTTATTACCTTTATTTATCTGTAGAGAAGTATGAAGACTATGAATTTTGTTCTTGATGGTGGATATAAACTGTAAATAAATATGGTGTAATTCATGACAAAATGATACCGAACAAAACTATACATGGCTTGATGTAATACAATTTAGAAAGTTCTTTTTCTTAAAAAAAAATAATAATAATAATCATGAATTGCATTCAAACAGCTATTATTCCAGCCGAACGAGACACTTTAGAGCAACAAGACAATGTACACAAGGTGCAAGAAGCCAAAGCAGCTGCAGAAAGATTCGAGGGTCTGGCTATTCTTAAGCGTCAAAAGGCCCAATTGCTCATGGCCAATGCCGATTTAGCCACTTATAAAGCATTTGTGGCTCTTAGAATTGCTGAGGCAGCCCAAATGGCCAAGCATCCGGAAAATGTCCATTCTTTTCTTCCTGGCCCATTGGCCCAGTCGTGACAAAACCCATCTTGGCCCATTCTGCACTCTAATGGGCTTCGGTTTTTTATCAAGCCCTCTGTTGGGCGTTTTGCGAGTATTGTAATTTTGTATAGGTTCTGATTTGATGTATATTTTGTATCACTATATAACTGATGACTAAAATGCTTCATCTGTGTAAGGGGGGTTTTGGGTCCTCTTTGGTGGGTTTTTTGGCTGAAATTTGGTTTATATGTACTGATGAACTTTGTATAGTTTGGACTGCTTCTTTAGAGGCCACAGTTTCAGATATGCTCTGGCTAATGATATATCATATCTTCTCAACTCTGATTGTATTTTGCTGAAAATTGTGCTTACTAGTATTTGATTTCCATCATTCAAAAATTGAAATTTAAAATTGTGCTTACTAATATTTTTGCTGAAAATTGTCCCTTTTACCCAATATGTACGTTTCTCCTTAATCCCATTTTCAGGGTTGGCACTAAAGTGACTCTACCACTCTTATTATTTTATAATAATAATAATAATTAGCAGACAATTATTTTTGTCGTTTAGTTGTTAGTGATCGGCATAGGCCAATCAGAAGTCAACAACGGGTTTGACTTTTACATCATTTTCTTGAATCGAAAAAAGAGAGTTTCGCTCAAATTATGAGTTCAAACGAAAGAGATTATTTTTGCTTAATAGTTAATTCTATAGTTCTTTTAATTTTGTACAATAAATCCGAAAAAATTGAATTGGGCGTTTTCTAAACTATTTCTGAATTGTTTGTTGAAATACAAGTTCAGCTTGAACAACATATTTGAGATTATTAAATTGCGAACTGAACCAGAACTCAAAAACTAATCGGATCTATTGATTGAAGATGAATTAGGAAATCTCATTGAGGAAGAGAACAATTTTGATAATTTCTAACGAATTCTCGTTAACGAATTTTCCACGAAGCACGAGGGCTCGGATAATTAATTTTCAATCTGAGACAATTTATATCCACAACTCTAAAACTAACCGGATCTATTGATTGAAGAATTATAAAATCTCGTTAAGAAAAAGCACAATTTCTATATTTCTAAAGAATTCCCATACCTAGTCAATAACTCTCCTCGTGGAAAATTACAGCATGAAGACTCGGATAATTTTTAATCTGACATTGATAAACAAACAACCAAATCTAACTCCTACTCAACAAACCTCATTTATTGTCCTAATATATATGGGTAGCTAATCTAGCCAAAAAGAAAAAAAAAATAAAAAAAAAATAAAGCAATAGCCAAGGTGTTAGACTTGCCAGTTGCCCCAAAAGCTGCATTGTTTCTTACAAGAAGAAAAGTGGGATATAAATTATGCCATGAATGATTTTGGAGTGTTAATGGAGCGCTTGTATATTTATAGGAGAATTATTTTGGCTCAACTCATTTTGGATTTAACTAAAGGTAGCAGGTACAAAGTGTTGAAAAATTAAAAAATAAAATAAAATTAAAAATTAATGTCACGAGTCCCTACTTTCATATTACTAAAACAAAAGCTTTTGTTACATTGTCGAAAGTGCTTGGAAGTTGGAACCTTGTCTAACTAGTTGCAATATTTTCCTTTTTGTATTAATTATATTTTTCTTATTTCTTTATTTTTAATAAAGCATAAGGTCTCGAAGGTTGGCTAGTGAAATTCAGTGTCACGTTTTTGTTAGTTATGTAATTATATCCCCATATAAAAATTGCGTAATATGTGTATAATATAGTAAACATATGATATAAGTTTGAATATACAAGAAATCTTTTACAATATTTCTAAAGAGATATTCATGTAGATTTGCAGGTAACATATATATATATGTTCTCAATAATCTCTCTAAAATACATTATTTCTTGTAAATTGTAATTATATTAACTTAGAACGTTAGAGTGTCATTGTTGGAGCCCGCTCGACATTGTTTTTCAGCATGATTTCAATTAGTAATTTGAAGCGATACGATTCAATAGGAAAGCTTGATGGGCCGATAATTCGACCAAATCAATGAATATTTCCTAATTTCATTAAAAAGAAAATCAAATATTTCTCTTGTGTAATTATTTAAGAAATATTTTTTGTTGCACTCTTGATGCAACATTCATGATAAGAGTTACACGTATAGATGACATTCAATCTTCACCGACTCTATAGATACCTATAGTATATAGTGCGCCCCCACTAACAGCCCGCAAGCCCACAGATTGGGATGTATTTATAAAAGAGCATTATTGATATGTGACATATAATTTGGTCATAAATTGGAAAATTTCACCTTTTATACTATGTATGCCAAAAGAGGAAAAGTAAAGTGAGGATTGTATTTTTTTTTTTCATGTATCACACAATAAAATTATTGGAGGAGTAATTGGAATGTGGAGCAGTTATTGTAAAAATCTTTTGCCCTCTTTTGGATTGTAATAGTTTATATGACAAGTGATTTATATTAGTTGTTTGTGAACGTTTTCGTAAATAGTACTTTGTATGGCTGTTATGAAAATTTTATACCGTTGTGTTATTTTACATATATTCTATATTTAAAATATTGTGTAATTGTTTTTTTTAATTAACAATTTCGGCTGTAAAATGTAAAGATGTATTATTTTTTTCTCAATGAAACTAATTATCATATTTGATTTTCAAATAAGTTGAATCCACTAATTTAACATAAATTCACTTATATCCAAACGAGTCGATCGGAAAAAAATTTGTTTTATCAAATATCAATTGACCACTATTTTGATATATGGACTTGCCTTTTGTCAACGTTGGAATTGGACAAAGGCGACAAAATCCATTAAACGATGATTTTGTCTACACATATTTTTGGTCATATGTTATTGTTATTTAATTTTGCAATCAAATTCAAATCAATTTGGGTGGTTATAATTCATGTAAAATTTGGTCCCACTCACATGCATGCTCATAGTTTGTAATTCTTCTCAAATCTATGTATGTATGTATTATTCCTGACATAAACAAGATTTCCAAAACGAGATTCATTCATTGAAAATTTCAGTTGTGACATAATTGATTATATTTCCTTATAGTTTTTTAGTTATAACTGAAAGAGTATGAACCCATAGTAAATAACTTCTTTACTTTTATATACTTCTTAAATGGCTTATGAATATTAAAAATGAGGTATTCTTAAGTTTTAAATTATACATAAGAAATGAAAATAAGACTATTTTAGCATTCATGGAGATGTTGAAACGCCATAAAATTGTCGCTTATAGTTAATTGAATCATACAAATATATAATGATTGATACGTTAAGGAACCTTAACACGTGAGCACATTTTAATATCTTCACAGTTTACATACAAAATTAATAGAAATTTGAATAAAATTTTGGAACCCCAAATAAATTCAACAACGACAATAATATCATAGAAGTAAATGTACTACAATTGACAAAACCGAGACAAAATAATCCTTCGCTAATGCAAGGAGTAGGATTGCTAATAACACTATCATAGCAACGATCTTCAATTTATCAAATAGATAAAAAATAATAATAATAATAATAATAATAATAATAATTGAATATGGCATATTATGTAATATATATGTTATGAATATTATTTCTCATGGACATTGTGGGCTTCTCCCTGGCCCACCATAATAGAAGTGTGTACCCCAATTTTTGTTGGCAAAAGTCTTGATGTTGTAACAATTAGGGGACTCAGCACTTGTTGTCACGCCTTGGGCTGAGCCCAGGTTATTATACTGGTCCATGATCTCAAGGTTTCGGAAATAGCTTGCTTTTCCGAACCCATCTTCAGCAAGATGGCCCGAGCCCATCTGAGTAGAAGTGTGCTGGTTGTTGGCCCGTTTATTTACAATCTCGCCGCCCCACTCGACCATGGTGGCCCGGTCCGATAAGTGGGTGAACAACGCAGTGGGCCAGTAGCCCACAGGCGTATCACCAACGGCCAACCACCAATTTCCATTTTTTATGTCCTGCACAATATAGAGAAAATTATTCATCCACCAATTTATATAGTTTCTTAAAAATTAAAAAAATAAAAAATATATACTAGCTTCATGGTCTATGAATAGTTGAGTAGTGGTTAATTTATAATAATCTTATTTTTGCAAACATTTTCAAATTATGTAGTAAATTGCCAAAATGACCCATAATATATCAAGGTTTTCTTAAAAACCAAGTATTGTAAGTTATGAATCATCATTGTCAAACTTTGGTTTACCAAAATAAAAGCTGTAAATACTTATATAATATAATAATAAATATATTGGATATATACATATATGTGTGTGTATATACATATTGTCAGTTAAATTTCTATTTTTCTTTGTAAGTAAAATTTCCATACCTTAAAGATGCTGATGACAACCTCAAATTGACTTCCACCCACGGTTGAGAATGGTGAAATTGCAGCTCCAATTAATATTTTCTTGTCCACTTGTACAAATCCTGGGCACAATAGATTGTAGCATCCTGTAGTTTGGTATGCATCTTTCTGCAACAATTTT